TAGGATGGGTATATTTATCTCTTTAAATGCATGTTGAATCCTTTATAGGTATGGATTTAGTCCATATTTTAGTTAAAATTTGGGGTGGTCTCCCACGCAATGGCAGAAATGATCTGCTCTCCAGCAGTTTGAGCTCGGGTCCATGAGATAGAGTGAGCTCCCATCGCTCGATCCCTAGCTCTTATCACCCAGCAGTTTGAAAGCTTGCAAAATTGCTAATAGTGGTGGGGGAAAAACATAGCTGCATTTGTGTGTGCAGAGAGCAGAAGCCTGGGTACTGGCCAAACACGAGGCATTGCAACACGAGGCAAGGCGAGGGGAGACTGATGGAGAAGCCTGGAAGAGCCAGCAACTTGAGAGCCACTAGTTAATTGGTGTAAAGCTAGTTCACCCATCTCAGCGCACCAAGGATAGATGTGCAAATGCCAAACAGAATAAATTATCAATTTAGACTGTCAGGACTCCATTGTGTCTAGCATGTGTAGATTTCCCTGACATTGTATGCCATTTGCTAAATAAATAAATGCTGCCCACTAGCAGGAAGTTCAGCAGTTACTCCTTTGATATTCTGCACCTTCTTGGGGGCTGTGTTGCTTTGGAATTGGCTGCCACAGATTTATTGATGAATATAAGATATGTGCATGAGCGCTTTTTATTCATGATGGCGCAGTGGTTAGAATGCAGTACTGCAGGATACTTCTGCTGACTGCTGGCTGCCAACAGTTTGGCAGTTTGAGTCTCACTGGCTCAAGGTTGACTCAGCCTTCCAACCTTCCGAGGTTGGTAAAATGAGGATCCAGATTGTTGGGAGGACAATAGGCTGACTCTATAAACTTCTTAGAGAGGGTTCTAAAGCACTGTGAGTAAGTCTAAGTTATATTGCTATTTGAAATATATTTATACAACTTTTATGTATATTTTTAAAACTAGAGAGAGAGCCAGGTGAAGGGAGAGTAGAGGCAAATGTTACATCAGTTAGTAGTATCTGGAATTTTTCTAAAAACTGCATCCAGAAATCTAGAATCTGTAAGACTGGGACAATTTCTCTTTGTCTTTTTTTAAAAAAAAGTTTTATTGTTTTTTAGGACAAACATAGACAAACAAAACATAAAAACCTCAAGCCATCTTCCATATATATACATACATACAGTGTGCCGGTTGGTTTACAAATTGTTTTGTGCTTCCACTTCGTAGTCTTCAATTACAATTACATTGTATATATTCTCATATTGTCAATCAAATATTCCTAAATACATTAATATCATTATTAATCAATCATTTGACTATACTATTATTCATTCATGTTTTAGGAGATGATCCATATTTTATTTAATTTGTTTTATAACAGTTCTAATTATCATCTCAGATCTATCCTACAATCATTTTGTAGATATAATAAAAAATACATCTTTACATATTCATTATGTTCTAAAAATCTACATATTTCATTACTATATTTTATTGTCTAACCATTGATAGAATAGATCCCAAATTTTAAACAATTGTCTATCATCTTGTTCTCTGATTTCAAATGTCAATCTACTCATTTCAGCACATTTCAATATTTTCTTAATAATTTCCTCCTGTGATGGTATTTTCTCATTTTTCCAGTTTTTGGCAAATACAATCCTAGCCACTGTTAATACGTTTACAGTCAGATATTTCAATTCTTTACTGTATATTTCAGGTAAAATTCCCAATAAAAATATCTCTGGTTTCAAGTCTATATGCTTTTTGTCATTTTTTCCAGCCATGTGTGGATTTTAGTCCAATATTTTTTGGCATCTGCACAAGTCCACCACATATGGTAATATGAGCCAGGTACCTGATGACATTTCCAACATTTTTCAGATTTGTTCTTGAACATTCTTGCTATTCTTGTTGGGGGGAAATGCCACCTGTAAAACATCTTATACAAATTTTCTTTATATGCTGTTGACAATGTCATTTTATAATTTTGAGACCACAATTTTTGCCATTTCTCTAGATCAATCCCATATCCAAAATTCTTCCCCCAAGCAATCATTGTTTCTTTAAATTGTTGTTCTAGTTTAATTTCTAATAGATATCCATATAATTTTTTAATCACCTTTTCATCAGTACCTGTCAAAATCTTATCTAAATCAGTCAATTTATCATAGAAACCTTCTGTTTTAGAATCTTTATCATACCTTGAATGTATTTGCGCATATGAAAACCAATTCATCTTTATACCTTGTTCCTCTAATTTTTGCATAGATTTAAGTTCACCCCTTTCATTTAATATTTCACCATATCTAACTGTTTGTTCCTTTTTGTATATTATAGGATAGGAAAAAGCTTCAATAGTCGATAGCCAGATTGGAATTTTCAAATAACATTGCCATTTAGTCTTCTCCCAGTTTAACCACAGAGACTCCCGTATATAATGTCTTCTAAAATACCCCTGTGTTTTAGTTCCTTTATACCATAAAAAAGCATGCCACCCCAAAAACAGATCATGTCCTTCTAATGTCAACAATCTAGCATTTCTTAATGTTATCCATTCCTTAACCCACATCAAATTTGTAGCTTGGTAGTACAACTCCCAATTAGGCAAACCAAATCCTCCTCTTATTCTAGCATCTTGCAAAAGTTTTAACTTTATTCTCATTTTCTTACCTTGCCATATATATTTCAACACAATTTTATTTAAATCTTCAAAATAATCTTTTCCAAGCCTAATTGGAATTGTTTGAAACAAATATAAAATTCTGGGTAATATATTCATCCTGATTGTTGATATTCTATTAATGACAGTTGTAAATTTTCCCATTCCGCCAAATCTAGCGCTATCTGCTGCTTAAGTTTAATATAGTTATTCTCTTTTAATGTACTACATCTTGCTGTCAAATGTATGCCCAAGTACTTGATCTTATTTGTGACCTGGATTTTCAATACATCCTCCAGTTCTTCCTTTTGTCTTGATAGCATATTATTTGTCAAAATCTTTGTTTTTATTTATTTTCAAACCAGCCACCTTCCCATATATCTCTATCTTTTCTATCAATTTTAATGCTGTTTCTAGTGGGTCTTCTAAGATGAAAACCAGATCATCTGCAAATGCTTGCAATTTAAATTCTTCTTTTTTAATGTTCATCCCTTTTATGTCCTTTTCTTCTCTAATATTTCTGTTTAGCACTTCCAAGGTTAACACAAACAACAAAGGTGACAGTGGACACCCTTGTCTTGTTCCTTTTCTTATATCAATAGAGTCCATTAATTCTCCCTCTATCGTTACCTTTGCTGTTTGCTTATGATATATAGCTTCTATTGCTTGGATGAATTTTTTACCAAAACCCATCTGTTCCAGCTGTAATAACATGAATCCCCAATTTACATTGTCAAATGCCTTCTGTGCATCTAAGAATATCAGAGCCATTTGTTTTTCAGGGTGTGCCTCGTAGTATTCCAAAGTGTCCAAGATTACTCTCATATTGTCTTTAATTTGTCTCTGGCAGAAATCCATTTTGATCAGGATGGATAAAATTATTTAGATATTTTTTAAGTCTTTCTGCCAATATTGAAGCAAACATTTTAAAATCTGCGTTTGGTAGGGAAATAGGTCTATAGTTCTTGATTTGTAATGGGTCGGCCTCCTCTTTTAGGATAAGTGTAATATAAGCTTCTGACCATGATTTAGGTATCTTCTTTAACATAACTTCATTCATAACTTCTAGCAATGGAAGATTCAACGATTCTTGTAGTGTTTTATAAAATTCTGCCGGAAGTCCATCTGGGCCTGGTGCTTTTCCATTGTTTTGCTTTTTAAGTGCTTCAGTTAACTCCATCATCGTTATATTGCTTTCTAACATTATTTCAATCTCTTTAGGTATCCGGGGTAGGTTAGCATTCTGTAAGTACTGTTTAACTCTTTCATCATCAGTTTTCTCTTGTGTGTATAGTTTCCCGTAGTAGTCTCGTATAATTTCCTTCTTCCCTTTACTTCCATAGCAAACTTGGCCTTGATCATCTATTAATTGCAATATTTCCTTGATTCTTTCTCCTTTCTCAGTTTATATGCTTACCATCTACTTGGTTTATTTGCATCTTCAAAATAGTTCTGTTTCGCACCTCTGATTTTCTGTGCTAATTCTTCTTTTTCCATTAATCCTATTTTATGTTTAATTATATCCGTTTTTAACTTAATGTCCTTCTTCTGTGGCATTTTCTGTAACTCTTTTTCAAGTTCTTTATACTCATCCTCCAATGTCTTTTTTACAGATTCTTTCTTTTCCTTAGGGTGTGCTTTTAAATCTTAAAGTAAAGAAAAAATTCTCACCAAACCGGCACACTTTCTCTTTCTATCCTCTTCCATTTCAGAGCTGTCCCAACTTCAGCAGTTTTCATGGCTGCCTCTTTGCCGCTGGCAAAAAGAGCTTCTCCTAGATCTACCAGGGACTTTGCGGTATCCCTGGGATCGACAGGATACACTCTTTACATTCACCGGCTCTTCGGGACGGTTTAGATCCAATTGGACCGTCCAGGAGCAAAGATATCGGCAGCGATCTCAGACCTCCAAGATCGCATGCCGTATTGTCCTAACGCCAGCTCCGCCCTCTCCAACTCCAATTTCTCTTTGTCTTTTAATGTAAGAAATATCTCTTGATTTCAGCAGAAAAGATAATCCTTGACTCTGGTAAAATAGCATAAATTCAGGAAAGTGTTAAGTGTAAACAATATATTATTTCCAACACAGGTTTCTGCTTTGGTAGGGCATCAAATTCAGTGATGGTGTGGGTTCTGTGAATGCTAAAATTGTGGAGAATCTGCTGTGTAGAGATGATTGTAGAGATACCTTCCAGTCCTTTTGTGAATATATGCAGCTGTGGCCAAATGATAGTTCTTCATACCCTTTTCAATTGTTTGAAACTTGGAGAATTAGATTTAAAAGAGGGTTTCACTGCTGTTAAATGACCCAATTCAACACCCTCTTTTTATTTTTCCTTAAATGTGTTAATGATTTGCAATGTCTTCTCCAGCATCACAAACAGACTCAGGTGGATATTTATGAGAAGTTGCCAGTTCCTTTTGGCTTGGTTCGTTTTGGAGTGGCTCCTGATCATCCAGAAGTCAAGGTTGGTACTATCTTTTTTTTTGGCATTAGCAGTCACAAAAGAGATCTACCAAGGTGAAGGCAGGGGAAGAACTCCTGAAATTATTCCCTTTCTTTTCTCGCCACCTTCTTTTCGAGTCCATTTTTGACTTGTCTTTTGATTTGTGTACAACCCTTAGAAAATATGAGCTATTTTGTGAGTGATAATATCATACTATTTAAGCAGGATTTGGAAATATGTACTAGATTGTGCAAAGCATTCAGAAGAGGTGTTTTCTGTTGCACAATACTATGAAAGAAACACCTCTCTGACTTGTGATAGTAGCTGGGTCTTTTGCACACTTTGTGTAGCTGCTTCCAAAGCTGTCCTCTTTTCTCTCAGGACAATACAGTATATGCTCATGTGCCTACAGCCACTTTGCTTCATTGGTGGCCTCAACAGAAGCTTACACAGACCACAGAGAACAGTTTTGGAAAATGCCCCAAGAGTCTTCCAAAAAAGACACGGCTGCTTTAAACAGTTTGAAAAGCGGAACTTTATTTGCCTTAACGCTTTTCACAAACCACCTCTTTTGAACAATTTGCACAGCCCTAATATTTCATGGCATTCTGTGGGTGTGGTGTGGCTTTTTTTATGCCTGATGCTTTGCTTTTGTTGGATGGAATGGACCAGTAATAAATATCACTTGAGTTTGGACAGGTAAACTGAGGACCCTGATTGTTGGGGGCAATATGCTGACTCTGCTTAGAGAGGGCTGTAAAAGCACTGTGAAGCGGTATATAAGTATAAATGCTAGTGCTAGTGCTAAACCTGATGATGACACACTGTGTTTTCCTGTAAGCTAGATATGACCTTGTCTCCAACTAGAATGTCCGCCACTGGCAATAGGCCATATTATCTTCTTCCTGTGCCTGCATCTGGAAGAAAAATGTGCTATTTTAACGGAGCTGACTGGCCTGGTGCCAGCCTGAATCGCAAAGTGAGCTGCTGCTTGAGATGCTGCAAAGTCATCCGGCCTGGCCTCATTCTTCTTCTGTAGCCTCCTGTCTGGGCGCTTAGCCTCTCGGGGACAAAGGAGTTGCCGTTCAGACGGAACCTCTCTCTCTCTCTCTCTCTCTCCCCCAGAATGTGATCAACACATTTACCCAGGCAGCCCACTCTGACCGCTGCTCCTTTGCTGGGAATGTGACTGTGGGGAGGGATGTAACTGTGGAGGAGCTGCAGGAGGCCTATCATGCGGTGGTCTTGGTAAGTGTTCTTGTCGGCGGTTTTAATAGGCTCAAGAGAAGGAATAGTATTTGTGAGGACGTGAAGGTATCTCAGGAGCGATCAGGGGTGGGATCCGACCGGTGTAACTACCGGTTCTGTGATTTACATTTGCGCGTGTGAAATATCGTCAGCTTGCTGCCTGGACAGCTGAGCAGTGCTGCGTGTGGGTGTGCAACGGTTGAAAAAGCACTTTTTTCCTGCTTTTTCAACCACAGCTGTGCTGCGCAAAGCAGCTGAGGGTGAAAAAGCAGGAAATAAAGGCCAGGTAAGAGCCTGGGCGGGTGGGTGGGCCAAAACAGCAACAGACACAGAATAATGCATGGAAACTGAACAAGGAGAGATTTAACCTGGAAACAAGGAGAAACTTTCTGACAGTGAGAATAATTAACCAATGGAACAGCTTGCCCTCGGAAGTTGTGGGAGCGCAATCACTTGAGTCTTTCAAGAAGAGATTGGACTGCCATCTGTCAGAAATGGTGTAGGATCTCCCGCTTGGGCGGGGGGTTGGACTAGATGACCTACAAGGTCCCTTCCAACTCTGATTATCTGTATCTGTAAAAAGGCAAGAACAGTGAACAGTATTGAACCACTTATGTCCATTTGCTTCAGAGAGCAGTATCTATAATACACAACCAACGTAATAGCGGCATATAAAAATCTCAGATTGGCAGACTCTGAATTGAGGGACATAATAAATGGTCTTTCAGTGCTCTGGCAACACTCATGGGGATTTTCAACTATAAAGGAAACCATTCCCAACCTTTATTCTGCCACAGTTATGTATTCATTTGGGGGAGGGGGAGCTGTCTCAGAAAATAGGCTGAATAATATGTATTTGAGCACTGATTTGCATGCTGTAAAGCTTGTTCAGAGTTTTGCAGCATAAATTCAGCGCCAGAAAAATAAACACAGATGGCTGATCCTTCATTTAACATCTTTATGAACATATGAAGTAAATTTTACAATACCAGTTGTAGATTTCTCCAACATGGAGCAAGCCGAAACAAAAGCAAACATGTTACAGGTTCAGAGCAGAGCTCTAGTTTTCAGCAAACAAGCAAGCAAGTCACACAGCAGAGGAAAGAAACAGTTTCATTTTTAATAGACAGACTCAGCGCTTAACATAGCTTCATAGCTGCAGCGCTTAATATAGAGCCACGCCTAGGCTACTTCTAGTTTCAGTTTCCAAACAGTCTTCATTGGCTAACTTAGTTGCTATGCTTATTCATTGGTTGACCCTGTTACCATGCTCTTTTCCGGTTCCTGAATATACTCTGACAAAGCTTATTTCCCTTCTTCTTGCAGTGTTATGGCGCTGAGGACAATCGGACACTTGGAATTCCTGGGGAAGAGCTTGAAGGTGTCTACACGGCGAGAACCTTTGTAGGATGGTACAATGGCTTGCCGGAGAACAGAAATGTACGAATTTTAGTGTTGTCCCTCTTCTACCTCTCAAAGGTTGCCACTTGCTCGAGCATCGGGGTGGGGGAGTCCTCCAGTTAGAAAAGAACACATAGATACCAAATTAAATCCAGAATGGTTTAACGACTGTGAACCTGTTTGCATATCTTCAGGAAGGTATTATCCCTCTGTTTGCATCTTCTATCAGAGGGCTAAAAGAGAAGCTCTGGGACTTGAGGAAAAAAGAAAACTAAAGATGCTTGTAGAAGTGTTTGCCATCAGGTGTGGAACATGGTGGGATTCAAAAAAATTTTACTACCGGTTTGTGGGCATAGCTTGGTGGGCATGGCAGGGGAAGGATACTGCAAAATCCCCATTCTCTCCCCATCCCATTAACCTGCTTTCCAGCTCCATTCTCCTGTGCAGGGCAACAAAAGAAGACCCAGCCAATCAGCAAGGACTCAGGAGGCAAATAATAGTTGGGGGCGGGGCCAGTCAGAGGTGGGATTTGCCGGTTCTCCAAACTACTCAAAATTTCTGCTACTGGTTCTCCAGAACTGGTCAGAATCTGCTGAATCCCACCTCTGCTTTAGCAGCCTTTGCGATGGACATGATTATGTTCCCTCTACTTTTGCCAAGCAACTTCATTTATGAACAGTTGTCATGGTAAAAATAATGGAAGCTGCAGGGCAGTTTTGGCCCTTCAGTGCTCTTCAAATAAGTAGTTTTGACAGGATGAACTCAGAAATGACTGGGAAGGGGTATTTCCTTATGAAACATACCACATCCCTTAGGAAGAAGTGATAAATATGAAGGGAAAATAGCCTTGTCCTTGTAACTTTTCCTTGACTTGCGATGCTCTTTCCCTGTAAGACGTCTTTTGAAAGTAGAAATGTTTTCCTGTGTGTTCTGTGTGATTGGACAGAATCTGTATCCTGGTGCATCTTAAAGGATATGGAAGAGCTTCCAGCATCTCAAGCCGGTCCTGAAATTATAAGGCAGAAATTCTGGTGACTGACTGCCTTGGACAGAAGACTGGGAACGAGCCACTGATCTGTAGGCTGTAAAGTAATTTCCCTTCTTCTTGCAGTGTTGTGGCGCTGAGGATAATCGGGCCCATTAGAATTCCTGGGGAATTCCATGAGTTGAAGGGTTTACTGTGAAACATCTCTTTGTTGTTCTAGCTGAAGCCAGACTTGAACAGTGAGACAGCAGTCATCCTAGGTCATGGGAATGTGGCGCTGGACATTGCACGGATTCTCCTATCGCCTCTTGAAATCCTTCGGGTAAGTTGTGAACGAGCCCCAGAGTGTTGGATGATGGCAGGGAGCCAAACAGGGAGGGTTGCTATCGACCTGTCTGAAAATACCCTTTCAGGTAATGAAGGGCAGGATCCCTGATTCAAAGACCTGTCGGACTGCAGCCATTTTGGAGTCTTGCCTTTCAGGAGAACGTTTGCCTGTTTTATTGGAGGGGAGGGGAACAGTTCTTGCATCTCCTGCTGTAGGAGTGGGGGTTGCTGCCTGTGAATCATTCTTCCAAAGTCCTTCAGGAGAAGACTTCCGGTTTGCTTCAAACTCTGCTGCCTTTCCTTCTTTAGGGCCATTACTCTCTCCTCTTTCCCTGTTTTTCCTCGGCTCTCCCTCTTTTTTTGCCTTAAAAATATGGAACAATTTTTTGTTTCTCTTTTTTTGTTTCTCTCCCTCTGATGCTAGAATTCTTGGGAGCTGTGAATAATTTTGGGGTCTCTAGGAAATGCTACCATGAATTCCCAAGTTTCTTATGCCTTCAAGTAGAAGGGGGCAAAACTGCAAACCTAAGGCCAGTTTGATCCTTCACCTTTGCCTATTTCGCCCCAGACCTGAGGGTGCTGAGTCTTAGGCTGTGGAGGCAGAAAATTCACAAAAGTTATTGCCTTGAAGTTTTAGGCGTAGCTCTTTGCTGAGCCTTCAAATGTTGGTTTTAAGTCTGCTTAATGTATGTTGCTAGCGGCTTGAATTCTTTTTAAAACAGGGAAATGAGATTAAAATGTTGGTAATAAATGCATCGAGTGTTCAATTTGCTGTTATTTGTGCATGTTGATGCCTTTTTCCCCCCTTACATTAATAACTAATTTCCATCAGTATTATTCCCTCTCCCTCTTCCTACTTTCTCCTTCTCACTAGTTTCCCTTTCCCTTTCCCTCACATAGTTGATGTGTTGTCAACAGATGCAGCATCGTGAAAAATTGCTCGAAAATGATGCATGCTGTCGTACCAAACTGTTCTATTCCGACGGCATTCACCTGAGAGAAGGTCTTTGCGTTGAGTGCAATTTGTTTGAGCAGATGGCTGCTCGTTCCATGTTGCCTGCCCTAATCCATGTTCCTCCCTCCCTTCTCCCAGAAAACTGACATCACTGAAGAGTCCTTCTCAGCGTTGGCCAGCAGTAAAGTCAGGCGGATTTATCTTATTGGCAGAAGGGGTCCCCTCCAGGTGGCTTTCACTATAAAGGTAAAATGAAAAAAGGAGGAAGGGTAGTTCAGTAACAGGTCTTGACTTCCAGCAAGATTGTTTGTGCTACAAGGACAAGTATTAAGACAGAAATGTGTAAGAAGAGGCCACTGAAGAGGCCAGTGAAAGCCCACCGAACTTCAAAGTGAAGTCCTCTGCAAAACTGCTATTGACTGATACTGTAATCTATATATATAAAAGCAAAATACCACTCACTCATCATCACAAAATCTCCAGAACTGTAAAGCCTACAAACTTGAAAGTTGGCATGTATGTTCCTCTTGGCTTCTAGGTGCTCACTAAGAAAGCATTAGTATTTTGTATATTATTATTAACACGCTCTGATGCTAAGGAGTTCTATTCCAACTCACCACCTGAAAATCTGAAATCTGTTCCAAATGCAAAGCCCAAGCAGAGGAGTGGAGTTTCAGTTTTAGTTTCACAGCAGCAACCAGCTTTAGTACAGAACAGTTGAGCTAAGCCACACTCAGGCTCCTTGCTGTCTCTTTCTTGCTCACACAGCAAATACTGTTTCACTTTCCAAACAGCCCTCAACTCTCTCACACACTGACAGGACGCTAGCCAGATGAATACCGATGGATGCTGGTTGGCAGAGGCAATTTTTTCCCCTTATTTTTCTCCCCCAAAACTAAGCCCGACCGTTAGTTTCATAGCGAACCATGGGTATCGAACTAGTTGACGATATAAACACTGTGAAATACTTAGGGAAAAAACACATGCATGTAAGATAGACCAAACTAAGAAATAGATACAGTTCAGCGTTACATTTATTGTAATAACTATAGTGACAGATTCCGCAAGTCTGAATGTGCTTGCGCCCCACCCACTTTATGTGAACTAGGAAGAGGTTTTCTCACATTACTTTTTTAGCTGAGCTCAAGACTCTCTTATCTGACTGTTATTGATAGCATTGATAGCTGCTCTTCCTCCTGTTTGCTCAAGGTCTTTTCCTACAATATATGACTATTAATTATTTTCATTTATTTTTTAAAAAAATATTAAATTTATGTGCCGCCCATCTCCCTGCCTAAAGCTACTCTTTTTGGTTCTGTTTCCTCACTTTGGGGAGAGCAAGTGCAGCGTACCAGTCAAGGGACAAAAGAAGCATCTACATTGTGGTCCCTGTTAAGATCAGTCACTGACTATGGAAATTGAAGTAGCCCCATCATGTTAAATGCTCAAGCAGGGAGTGAATGTACTGCTCTGAATCTAATGAAACTGGTTCATGGTTCTGAAGGAAGAAAGGATACCCAAGGTTCACCTCACACTTGTTGAGGTGGTAGGAGTGCACTCTTCTTCTCAGGGTTGTTCATGGCACCTGTGCATCAGCTCACCTGATTGAAATCATATGATGGGTGCCTACTATGAGTATCATCTTAACTGTTTTTTAGATGTCATCTTATTTTGCTTTTTAAAGTTTTGGTTGCAGCTTCAAGGATTAAGCAGAGTTAGGAAACAATCTGGGTCGGTCACTGGAACCAGAGGTTTAGTCTTCTGAGCTTTCAGACTCATGTTGAAGCCCATCCTCAGAGGACTTCTCTGTAGCAGAGTATGTGCTTTTGGGCTATTCCCTGTGTGGTATTTGTATGGTGCCTGGTTGTATGTGGCTTTTTAGTTGTTGATTGGAGTATTGGCTGTTGATTGGAGTATTGGCTGGCTTTAAGTCATTGGCTGTTGTTTCAGGATTTAGTCTGGGTATATTGGGTGCATTGCAACAATAATGTTGCAGGATCTAATCTGGGTGACCAACCCAGTTTGGATCCTGCAACATTATCCTGGAACACATATATTTGCCTTGATTTATGGGAGATAGGAAAGCTTTAGATTCAGGCATACTATAATTCTCAGGAGATTCTTCTTTTACTCTCAATAATACCTGCCAAGGTGACATTATCTAGCCAGGTTTGGATGGTTTTGGAAAACTAAACCTATCACCCTCTCTGTGTTTCAATGTTAGCGTTCCTGCATCACCTACATTTTTGCCTTGTGTTTCTGTCTCTGAAACCTTCAGGAGCTGCGGGAAATGATCAACCTACCCAGCGTTAGACCTTTCCTGGATCCTGCTGATTTCAGAGATCTTGGGGATGCCATTAAAGGTGAGGATCAGCTCATTAATAAAGACCCATGGTCCAAAAACAATTTCTTTTAATTATGTTCTCTAAGTGGGATTTGTTGTTCACAAGCTAGGTGGGATTTTCCTTTTCCTTCTACTAGATTGTTCACATCTAGATTGTTTTCACTAACATATTTTTATTCACAGTTGTTCTGTTACTTGTAAAGTGCCAAGAAGGTTTGAAAGACAAATAATTGCAATAAATTCTCTACAAGGGTTTTAGGCTTCCATAGCTGAGATTGGTATGATAGATGGCTTAGCCCAGGCTTGTCCAACCTGCGGGCCAAGGGCCGCATGTGGCCCAGGTCACCTTGTAATGCGGCCCAGTGCCCACCCCAACCTTTGTGCCAGAGCCAGCAAGGAGGAGGAGGAGAAGCAGGCGCGAGGCAGGGTGAGGTGAGCGCCAGGCCAAGCAGCAACAGAAAAAGCAGGCGCTGTCAGAGCGCCACCTCCTGCTGTTGCCACCACCACCATCGCCGCCGCTTCTGCCCCTGCCGCTTCTACCCCTGCTGCCACTTCTGCCCCTGCCGTCGCTGCCGCTTCTGCCCCTGCTGCTGCCGCTCCTGCCCCCGCTGCCTCCGCTTCTGCCCCCACCACCACTGCCCCCGCCGCTGCTTCTGCCCCCGCCGCTGCTGCTGCTTCTGCCTTCCAGTCCTGCCTCATCCAGCCGGGCCATTTGCAGGAGGAGAGGTAGGCGCGAGGCGGGCGAGCTTTTTCCCTCCCCCCCCCCCGCAAAAGTTGGCCGGAAAATAAACCATGATTAAAAAAAACGTGATAAAAAAACTGTGATAAAAAATAAATAATTTTTAATAAATAATTAATAATAAAAACATCTCACTAACTTCATTTCCAAATAAATTTAATATGTTAACTATGTTTTCTATGGGTTTTTTGGATGATCAGGTATCGTTACTGTTGTAGTTTGAAGGAAAGGAGAGGCTAGACCAGGGCATGCGGTTAACAATGTTTATTAAAGGAACGGTGGTTGTCGCGTCTGCCAGCCAACGGGCAGACTAGCGTGCGAACAACGGCTGGCTTGGCTTGACAGCCGGCTTTATATAGCCGGCTGTCAAACGGCGCCAGCCAATAGGAACGGTTGGTGATCCTGCTTAAAGAGCGGACCCGGTTGGAACCCCAA